CCCCAAAACCCCAAAACCCCAAAACCCCAAAACCCCAAAACCCCTCAACCCCAAAAACTTGAAATTTATACTACAAATTCCAACTCCCTCAACCCCCCAAAGAAGTCGCTTCCCCCAGGCTTGAAGAACTAGTGCATGACTCTGGTCAGTACTAAGGCAGAGGAATTTTATTCGCACGGCTGAATTTTAAACGGAGGTGATCATAGTAGCTGAGGGTTTGGGCGAGGGTGGAAGATTGGAGGGGATCGGAGGTGTTTTGGGTGATGAGAGAGTCGATTATGTTGGAGAAGGATTTTTTGGGGGTTGGTGGTTGGGAAGGGGTAGGAAGGGTGGATTGGAGAGTGTGGGTATATTAGGAGGTTATAAGGAGGGCTTGGAGGTGGTGATATGTGTAGGTGTCTTTTCTCAGGTCTTATCTTGTGATGAGAAATTGTAGACATATTTTTCAGTAGTTTAAGATGAAAAATGATTTTGTTCCATTTAAATTATGATTAAATTTTACCAAAATTATCATCCTTAAATATCTTTTAAGACCAATTAATTCTAAAATTTGTAATACCAGTAGAACAATTAACTTCATAATATTCTCTCGAAAATACATTAAAACTGTATATTTGAGACTTCTTGCTCATCCAAACTCAATTTTTCCTAAAATCTGAAATCCCTCTCCTTTCACGACCCCTAATATCTCAAAATATTCCCTCCTTCCCCAACTCTTATCTTCTCTCTTCTTTTCCCTCACTAAGCCTCTCCAATTACCCCAACTCCTCAATACAAGTACGCTTCCTCGTCCTTCTCTCTTCCTGTTTTAGAAGCCAATCCATTCCTTATTACTCTCTTTCAGTGCTAAGATCCCTTCGCAGTCTTGAACCCTAGCATAGCTTTGGGCATGCTAGCTCTTTGGCTTCTTATGAAGAGGGTGGAGCTGGGATTGGGGGAAGGGAAGAAAGTGTGTAAGGGAGTTGGGGATTGGGGGTGGGTGAAAGAGGGGATTTTGGCTTTTTTTGGGTTTATAGAGTGGTTGGGAATTTTAGAGAAGATTTTTGATTTTTTATGCAAAATTTGGACATGAAAATGTTTTGGAATTGATTTTTATGGGTGGAGATAGGGGGAGAGGAATGGAGAAGAGGAGGAAATAAGTGAGACATAGATAGAAAATCAAGCTGTAAAGATTACTGATTTATATACTACCTTTGCAAAGAATTCTACTAATCACTCATTTTTAATCCAAAAAACTGGTATGCAACAAAGTAAGTTTTTGGGCATATTTTATTTTCAAGCTTTTTGGTCTCTAGAGGGGTTTTGGGGTTTTGGGGTTTTGGGG